GGAGAATACCTGTTCCTTCTTCTCCCTTAATTTTCTTTTCTGTCACTGTAGGCTTAAACATAACCAACCTTCCTTCCTCCCTCCCCTCCTTCTTCAGAATTCTTGTTGCTTTATTTTATTTTAATTTTTTTGAGACAGAGTCTCACTCTGTCACTCAGGCTGAAATGCAGTGGTGTGATCTCAACATACTGCAACCCAACCTCTACCTCCTGGTTCAAGCGATTCTCCTGCCTCAGCCTCCCGAGTAGCTAGAATTATAGGCATGCACCACCAGGCCAGGCTAATTTTTGTATTTTTTGTAGAGGTAGGGTTTCTCTATGTTGATCAGGCTAGTCTCGAACTCCCGACCTCAGGTGGTCCTCCCACCTTGACCTCCCATGGGATTACAGGCATGACCCATGGTGCCCAGCCCTTTATTTTTGATAAATTGCTATAATAAGCTTCTATTAGAAGTTTTTTAGACATTACACCACATTGTCTTGATATTCTGATCTTATACACATACACACATATGCATTTTTTCAAGAGATGTTTAACCGATATATACTGTATATTGAATATTTGCCATCAAATATTCTTTTTTTTTTTTTTTTTGTTCGAGCTAGCTGAGATTTTATTTTGGACCAAAAAAAAAAAAAAAAGCAATTGAACTGTTTTGCAGCTGGAGGCATGGGCAAAGGGGGTCCCCAGGCAGTAAACTCCATGCGAGTGGGCTGAGGGCTAGGGCTGAGCGTCGGGTGGGTCTCCTGTTCCCTGTGCTCCCGTGCACAGCGGCCTCCCTCCCGGGCTCTGGGGCAGCCTCAGGAGGGGCAGGCTGGGAGGGGCTGTTGCAGCTGTTCACTTGGGCAGGACGTCAGAGGACTGGGACACCAGCCTCCCATCGTGGGTCTCAATCTTCTTCACAACCACAGCCTTGGTGGAGCTGGCGTGGCTGAAGGAGCTGGAGCCCGTGCCAGAGCCAAAGCTGGAGCCCAGGCCGTAGCTGAGGCTGGGGCTTGTGAGGCACCCATAGGCAGAGCTCAGACCACCTGCTTAGCCACTTGTGGTCTTCGTGTGGATACTCATGTTCTGCATCCCGGACTCCAGCCGGCTCTCCTTGCCCTCCAGTAGCTTGCGGTAGGTGGCGATCTCCATGTCCAGGGCCAGTTTGATGTTCATCAGCTCCTGGTACTCACGCAGCTGCCGTGCCATGTCCTGCTTGGCCTGATGCAGGGCGCTCTCCAGCTCCTGCTGCTTGGTACGAGCAGCCTCGAGTGCCCGGCCCCCACGCTGCTCAGCATCTGCAATAGCGGCCTCCAGGGAAGAACACTGGCCTTTCAGGCCCTCGATCTCAGCCTGGAGCCGGCTGATGTTCCGGTTCATCTCGGAGATCTCAGTCTTCTACGCCACAGGTCATCCCCGTGCTTCCCAGCCAGGATCTGCAGCTCCTCATACTGGATCTGGTATACGCTCTCTGCCTCAGCCTGGCTGCGGTTGGCGATCTCCTCGTACTGCGCCTTGACCTCAGCGATGATGCTGTCCATGTCCAGGGAGCGGCTGTTGTCCATGGACAGCACCACAGACGTGTCGGGGATCGGGGACTGCAGCTCCCGGATCTCCTCTTCATATAGCTGCCTGAGGAAGCTGATCTCGTCAGTCAGTCCTTCCAGGCGAGACTCCAGCTCTATCTTGTTCATGTAAGCTTCATCCACATCCTTCTTGATGAGGACAAATTCATTCTCCATCTCTGTACGCTTATTGATCTCTTCCTCATACTTCTTCTTGAAGTCCTCCACCAGCCCCTGCATGTTGCCAAGCTCCGCCTCCAGCTTCAGCTTCTCCTGGCCCAGAGTCTCCAGCTGCCGCCTCAGGTTGTTGATGTAGCTCTCAAACCTGTTGTCCATATTGCTCCTAGCCGTTTTCTGCTGCTGCAGGAGGCTCCACTTGGTCTCCAGCATCTTGTTCTGCTGCTCCAGGAACCGCACCTTGTCGATGAAGGAAGCAAACTTGTTGTTGAGGGTCTTGATCTGCTCCTTCTCCTGGGTACGCACAGCCTGGATGTTGGGGTCCACTTCCACCTTAATGAGGTTCAGCAGGCTCTGGTTGATGGTGATGGCGGTGATGCCTCTCATGCCTATGCCGCTGGCCCCAGCATAGCCAGCACCCAGGCCACCCCGGAAGCCACTGCTGCTCACTCGGGAGAAGCTCGAGGAGCGTAAGCGGGCACTGGGCCCACTCTTGAAGGAGTGGCTGCTGAAGGTCCCGGGGCAGAGGTTGACACCTTGTAGGTTGTCCTGGGTAACTTCTAGGTTACCCTGATGGACATGGTGGAGGCAGGAGTGGAGGCAGGCGGGCTGAACCAGGGGGAGATTCCAGAAGGAGCGGAAAAGCTGCTTTTTCCAAATATTGTCAAATACTTTATCTTGTAGCGTATCACTTTCAAGTTAAAATGCCAGAAATGACACCAATATCTACAGTTATTTTAAGGAATGTTATATAATGACACATTGAGGTGTACATTCTTTTGACTTATAATTCTTAAAAGAATAATAATAGCAAAAATGATGCAAAATCTTTGGTGTGAGATTATGATGAAGCTACATTTTACAAAAATATAGCATAAAATGGCAATAATCCCATTCAACATCCTGGACTAGATTCCTTCAGGAGGGGCTAACTTATACAGCTGAACTTTAGAGTTTACAGATAAAGACAGTTAAATACTGCTACTGAGAAATATCTCTCTTATAACATATACAACTTTCAGGCCACAGTTTTGAATATCTGAAGTACTAAGTTGGTTTGATAAATTAGTCAGTTGGCACTTATGAACACATTTATTGTTTTGCCATCTTTAAAATATATTTTCTGAGTATCACTAGAACTTTTGATATACTTTACAAATTCTTTGTTTTGGTGTTCAAGTGCCCTGTGGTTCTGGTATTGCTATTTTTAAAAGACATTATTCGCTGTTACCAAGGTTACCTTATTGTACTAACTGTGTCCTTGACTGCAGAAACCTCACTCTGTCATTTATCTCATCTGGGATTTTACTGAGAATTTGTTTAAGAGCTTGTGCTCTTTCATTTAGGTCTCAGAATTCTGGCTCTGGTCATTCAGTCTTAGACTTTTTTTTTTTTTAAGATGAAGTTTCACCATGTTGGTCAGGCTTTTCCTCAACTCCCGACCTCAGGTGATCCGCCCGCCTTGGCCTCCAAAGTGCTTGGATTACAGACATGAGCCACCACACCCGGGCCAGTCTTAGACTCTTTCACATCATCAGCTGCCATATGAAGAAGGGATTCTGTATGGTTAACTTCTATACTTTTTTTTTTCTAAAATTTTCATAATGATGTCTTGTGTGAGACCTAGATTGTCTTTTTCAATTATAATGAAAATGGTCTCAGTGTCTATTTGCAGACAGATTTACTCATTCTAGAGCTGCAGGTAGATTTACTCCTTCTAGCTCATTAAACACAGGATACATGACTGCATGGAGGGACATATAAAACATGGAAATAAACTTCATTCTTCATCTCTTATTCAAACACCAACTACAGTAGAAAAAGCAGTGCTAAATTGTACTTCATTCACTGCAGTATTCTCGTTTTTTGTGTGATCAAAGAATAAGGCACAAAACACAAGTGACTGACACCTAACTGAGCACAGATTTCATTTCCGACTTATGGACCCTCTTCAGCTCACCAGAAGGACCCAAGAGGAACCACCTTTATTTCTTGACTTTTATTGTAATCTAGTCCAAAGAGGAGGAGGAGAGAAATGCCTGTGGTTTAACTTTTACTGTGAACTGCAAGTTGAATCATTTATCTGTTGAAATTACTTGGCTATGATATCAGTGCTCACTATTATTCTTTTCATCTCCTATCAACTGTAATACAATCCACAGGGAACTTTTAATGAAATGTGCTGTTAGTGTATTCATAGTTTCTTCTGTTTGTGGCAGCAACAATGCTTTTGAAATCATATAAGATTTTTTTTCTCCCTGTGGATATATAGTGATTCTTAATTTAGAAATAGAAAAAAGTAACTTTGATTTTGTAGTTGTATCTTAAGAAAGAGTTAAATTGCAATTTAAAATTTCTCATTGACTTTAAAAAGTTTATATAATTTTTATACATAATTCTAAATGTTTCCTTTTTTTTAGTTATTAGGGAAAATGAAAAAAATCATGTATGTCTTGTTGAAAAGTTGTGTTGTTGAAGAAAAACATCCAGAATATCTGTATCTTCTAAATGTATTAAGTTAAATAATTTGAAGATCACTCTTTTTGTGTTTGTTGTCTCTTTAAATATGACATTGCTAAATATTTCACAAGTATATGATTAACTTTTTGAATTCACAGTAGTTATTCTACTTTTTAGTGATGTCAAAAAATTCTACTTCAGTAAGCATTGGTATTTAAAAGATATTTAGAGTATTTTAGGGTCAATAGTTACAAAACAAATTTGAAGATTTATAAAAATTGTGTGAATTGAGGTTTAAGGTTGTTTAAATTTTTATAATGTCTAAAAATGAAAACTACTGTCTGAGGGAAGATGTACATAGAAGATTTTACTAATTTAAAAATGTTCTTATATAGAAATAATCACATATTTACTAGTATTTGACTACTGCATGAATGGTAGACAATAAGTACACTAATCACAGGATGCTATGATTGGTTTGTGTATTTTAAGGGGGAGTATTAGAACAGGAAGGATAATTTGAACTGTCTCAAAAGATTTTAACATTAGATTGCATATGGTGTTATGTTAGGTTTCTGCGTTTTTGTAGTTCCGGGATTTTGATAACAGTTTCCTGGCTGTTATAGGTATTTTAGTAGTCATACATTTTCATAAAGTGACCCAGCAGAAGCACATAGAACTCAAATGTTCTCTTTTTGTTTTTGATGTTATCTTGTGTTGCTTAAAATGAAAACTTTCCATTGTATGGCTTCTGTAATATCTAATGAATAGAGAAAAGAGTTACAAGTTTTTAATTTATTAACATTTTTCTTTTAGATTATCTGCAGTTATGAAATGAAGAAACTCAAGATGAGCAAGTTAAAAGTGATACCAGAGAAAAGGTACTGTGATTTTAAATATCAATATGCATAAGTTACAGAAATAATATATGATGCAATTTTTTGAAAGTCAGTACTTGACAAAGTATTATTTGTGTTTAAGTATAGTATGTTATATTTATATAATTAAAAATGTTTATTAATGTTTAATTTTTCAGTTAAAATAGGAGTTAGCAAACTATGGCCACCTCCTGTTTTTGTATGGCCTGTGAGCTCAGAATGGTTTTACAGATATGTGTATATATATATATTTTATTTTTATTTTTAATTTTTGAGACAGCGTTTCACTCTTTGCCCAGGCTAGAGTACAGTGACACAATCTTGACTCACTGCAACCTCTGCCTCCTGGGTTCAAGCAATTCTCCTGCCTTAGCTCCCGAGTAGCTGGGATTATAGGCACCTACCACCATACTCTGTTAATTTTTTGTATTTTTAGTAGAGACGGGGTTTTACCATGTTGTCCAGGCTGGTCTGGAACTCCCAACCTCAGGTGTTCCACCTGCTTCAGCCTCCCAAAGTGCTGGGATTACAGGCGTGAGCCACCATGCCTAGCCAGTTTTTACATTTTTAAACAGTTAAAAAAATAGTATTTTGTGATGCATGAACATTACATGTAATTTGCATTTCAGCATCTATAAAGTTTTTTTTGGAACACAGCCATGCTAATTCATTTACATTTGTCTGTGGCCACTTTTGCACTAAAATGGCATAGTTGAGTAGTTATGACAGGGACTGCATAGCCCACAGTGTCTAAAATTTATACTATTTGGCCCTTTACAGATAAAGTTTAGGCCGGACATGTTGGCTCATGCGCGTAATCCTAGCTCTTTGGGAGGCTGAAGCAGGTGGAACATGAGGTCAGAAGTTCAAGACCAGCCTGGCCAACATAGTGAAACCCTGTCTCTACTAGAAATACCAAAATAGCTGGGCGTGGTGGCAGGCACCTGTAGTCCTAGCTACTTGGGAGGCTGAGGCAGGAGAATTGCTTGAACCTGGGAGTGGGAGGTTGCAGTGAGACGAGATTGTGCCACTGCAGTCCAGCCTGGGCTACACAGCAACAATCTGTCTCAAAAAAAAAAAGGAAAATGTCTAACTGATTTCTGAGTTAAAGCACACGATATCATCTCCGTTAAAGTTCTTAAATACCAAGAAATTGTCTTAATGTTAGTTTTGTTTATTTCAGTTGAAAGACAAATCTGATTAATTGTATATTGAAATTGTCTTGGCTATACAGCCATGAACAGATTGTACAACTTTATGAAGACTCAGTTTTCTCATCTGAAAAATTATTACAATGATTTTAATGATACAATTATTTTAATGATAATGCTGTTATTGTAAGGCTGAGAAGATTAGATAGTATTTGGCTCAGTAATTGATAGTGTATTAATATTGGTAATAATGAAAGTTTCTGCTTTGTAGCAATGTTCTTATGTTTACATGTATACAACTTTACTTTTATAGGTATGTTTTAAATCTGTTTTAAAATGAAGTATACACACAGTTTATTTAGGTGAGATTTATTCCTAGGTTTTGCAGTTATTAACTTTGTCATACATCATACCAAATTTCATTTTAATGATGTACTTGTGTAATTTCTGTAGGAAAGGAATTAGGCAATATTTGTATTTTTACAATGATCCAAAAGCCCTACTTTTTGCATTGGGTCAAACAGATAATGCTATTTTTATTGATTAGCTAAGCTCTCTAGCTAATTACTAGATCATTGTTCATAAAAATGTGAAATTACTTTTAGTTTGAAAGCCTCTGGCTACTAAGGTCATTTTAAATTTTTTCTTCTGAATTATATTTTATTGGATATTTCTTTTTTTTGTTGTCGTAGGGTAACTAAATTGGGATCATTGCAAATGGTCTTCATCTAAAGGAAATTATAATTTCTAGTAAAACTTGTCATACTGCTCTGAGAAGAAAGCTGAATGCAATAAGGCAAATTGAGATAGTAAAGGGTCAACGTTCCCTTCCCATAGTATGGCATATTGAGACTGTGCGGGAGAACTTAGAAGAATGCCTTCCAAGGGTCTGAAAAGAGGGGAGAAATAATACTTCCAGGTTTTGTTTTTGATTTTTTTCTTTTCTCAAATTTGATGAGAGCTCACCAATTTTCAGAGAAAATCTTTTGTATACTTTCCATGTCTCTAGAGGCTTTTGTAGATACTATATTTGACTTCTTCCTTTTTTTGTTTGCCTCTTTTTGATTTATTTCTCAACTATGAAATACTTTTATGTACCTAGCTTGGTACTAATCTGTGAAAGTAGAAAAGAAACATGAGTATAACACTTAATACAGTGCATTGAAGAAAATGAGTGTTGAATTCATGTTCTGAAAAAAGAGCCCTGTTCTCTTTTTACACAAAGCCTGTGAGCTGATAAAGAATATCTGAACAAATGCAATATGAGAGACTTAACCCGTAAATAGTGAAGTGTTAAATTTTGAGGTGTACAGAATTAGAAAATAAGGTACGCATAAACAGCGGTTTATTGTGTGATAGGGACTTGAAGAGGCAAGGGTGGCTTGAGGGTTGGTAGAATATTCAGAATTACTGAATTTAAACAAAGATTCTAATTAGATAGATTAGACTGGCAGATTTAAAGACCATAGTAATAGGTGGTAATTTAAATCAGAGAAGCACATCTGGTAAAATATAAGAAGCAGAAATTTTGTGTACACCTCACTTTCTACCATTATGGTCATGCCCTAAATCTTATCACTAGAAAAACTGTAATTTCAAAATGCTAATTTACACTTTTAATTCTCCAACTATAATCTTTTATCTTTCTAGTTCACTTGCTCAAATATCTGATCTCTAAGAGTTCTACCTCACCCAGAGCTCTAATCTGTTGACTTTTATTTTCTCTCATTCATCTCTTCCTCCTCCTCTTTTATTAGTATAGAATCTGTTGTCCATGATTACACATTCTTGCAGATATCTGAGATGTCTTTATTTTGCTTTAAATTTTTCCATCACACCCAAGGGACAAAGCTCTTACTCTGGATAATCTTTATTGAGCAACTGAATGACATTGGAGGATAAATTCATTTAGTAGATATCACTAAAAAAATGGTGACAGTGGATATCCTTGTCTTTTTTTTTTTTGTCTTGTTTTCTGATCATAGGAGAAAAGCATTTATTCTTTTACCTTTAAGCATTTTGTTAGCTGTGGGTTTCTGTAGATGCTTTTTATCAGGTTGAAAAAATTCTCTTATATTCTAGTATGCTGAGAATTTTTTGTCCAGTATGAATGTTTGAGTTTATGAAATACTTTTTCTTTCTGTTGAGATGGCTGCAAGGTTTGTCTCTCTTAGTTTATTAATAGTTGAATTATATTGAATGGTGTTCGAATATTAAACTAACCTTGCATTCCTGTGATTGACCTTACTTGGTCATGATATATTATTATTATCTCTCATATATTGTTGGATTTGATTTGCTAAAGAGTTGTTTAGAACTTCTGCATCTGTGTTCATGAAGCATATTAGGCTGCTTTTTCCATTTCTTGTAATGTTTTTTATCTGGTTTTGGTATTAAGTACTAGCCACATAGGATTTTGAAATCAGGAAGGATTTTCTCCTTTTCAGTTTTTTTGGAAGAGTTTGTATACAATTGATATTTGTTTATTGCTTGGTAATATTCACCAGTTAAGGCACCTTGACTGGGAATTTTGCTTTGTGGCATGTTTTTAAAGTATAAATTCACTTTCCTTAATAGATACAGATAGTACGATTTAGGTTTTCTGTTTCTTATTGAGTGAGTTTTGGTAATTTGTGTCTATGGTAAGCTGAATAATGATCCCCTAGGAGATATGTGTGCCTTAATCCCAAGAACTAGTGAATATGTTATATTACTTGGTAAAAGGGACTTTGTAGATATGAGTAAATTGAGCATCGTGATACGGAGAGACGATCCTATTTTATCTGTGTGGGCCCAGTGTAATCATAGGGTCTTTCTTTATTAAGTGGAAGGCAGGAGGATCAATGTCATTTGTAGGAGATTTGATGATGGAAGCAAAAGGTTAGGGTTATGTAAAAAAGAGGCCATGAGTCAAGGAATCCTAGAAATTAGAAAAGGCAAGGAAATGGATTCTCCCCCAGAGCCTCCAGAAAAACCATTTCTTCTTACACCTTGATTTTAGTCCAGTGAAACTGGTTTTGGATCTCCAGCCTGTAATATGATAGTAAGTTCATGTTGTTCTTAAACAGTGAGTTTAGTGGTAATTGGTTACAGCAGCAGTAGAAAATGAATACTTTCCTATGAAAGTATTGGGAAGCTAATGTCTTTCAAGGGATTCGTTCATTTCTTCTGTGTTATCTAATTTATAGGCATAAAGTTGTTGAAGTATTCTTTTATCTTTTTACTATTTAGCATCTATAGTAATGTTGCTTTTCCATTCCTATCAGCCTGCTTGGAAATTTATCAATTCTACTGATTCTCAAAGTACAGCTTTTGGTTTCATTGATTTTCCTGTGGTTTTGCATGTTTCTTTGATTTCTATTTTGGTTTTTATTTCCTGACTTGTACTTACTTTTGAGTTTCATGTGCTCTTTTTTTTTTATCTTTTACATTGAAAGCTAAGGTCATTGATTTGAGACATTTCTGTTCTACTGTGGACATTTATTGCTATAAATTTCCCCCTAAATACTGTTTTAGTGATAGCCTGCTAATTCTGATATATTGTATTTTCATTCAGTTTGAAATACCTTCTGATTTCCCTTTTGATTTTTCTTTGATCCATGGGTTATTTAGAAGCTTGTATCTGGTTTCTAAATATTTGAGGGGTTTCTAAAGGTTTTTACTGATTTAAGTTTAGGTCCATAGTTGACTTGATTAGTATTAGCATAATATATTTTTCTATTCTTTTACTTTTAGCCTATTTCTATCTTTATATTTCAAGTGCATTTCTTGTAGGCAGCATGTATTGTGTCTGCTTTTTTTTTTTTTTTTTGAGACAAAGTCTTGCTCTGTTGCCCAGGCTGGAGTACAGTG